TATTTTTAGTTCAAAGGGCCTTTGTTCCTGAAAGGTCTATTGTTTCCGTTTTGCGATTTTGCTTTGGTTCATTATAAATGTCCGTTTCACTTTTCAAACTGTTGCCACCAAATGTTAGAGTCCTGCATTATATTTGAAGAAATTAAATAATGAAAAATCTGCATAAATGTATATATATGTTTCTCGCACTGTGATAAAACAGCTGTACCTATAGCTATCAAATTTTTAATGGCGTAATTCTATTGCAAATATGAGCATCTGGAAACCAAAATTTGAAATTTGGAATTTGTTGTATTATCGATTTCCTATTTCGTAAAACTTTAACTAATTTTTGATTAACATTAAGGATTTCAAAGCGAGCAATGGCAACGTTGCACAGAAGAAACATTTTCATCTCCAGTGCGTGAGACTGCGTATCGGAAATTCTAAAGATATGCTCAATTTAAAACTATTTTGCGATATTGCTCTTGAACTGAATTTTATGATTTAAGTGCGAGGAACGTGATATTTAATAAATAAAGTTAACAGACAAAATGTGAAAAAAACGCCCCTTCGGACGTAATTTAAAATCTGAAACTTTTCAGATTTTTATCTTTTTAGTCCAAAGGGATTTGAATCCCGAAGGACTATTAGTTTCGTTTTGGCATTTTGCGTCGGACTCATAAATGTCGGTTCACTTTTCAAACTGTTGCCACAAAATGTTAGAGTCCTGCATTATATTTGAAGAAATTAAATAATGAAGAATCTGCATGAATGCACGTAATATTGTCTGTATTTCTCACATTGTGATAAAACCAACGGTACCATAGAGCCATCGAATTTTGAATAACGTAGCCCTTCCAAACCGAGACATGGAGCATTGTAGAAGACCAAATTTCGAAATTTGAAATTTGTTTATGATCGATTTCAAATTTTGTAAAACTTTGACGAATTTTTGATTACCAACTCAGGATTTCAAAGCGAGCAATGGCAACGTTGTGCAGAAAAAACATTTTTATCTCCAGCGTGAGTCTCTGTATCGGAAATTCTAAAGATAGGCTCGTTTTAAAACTATTTTGCGATATTGCTGTTGGACTGGATCTTATGGTTTAAGTGCGAGGAAATGATATTTAATAAAGAAAGGTAACACACAAAATGTTAAAAAAAAACGCCCTTTGGACGTAATTTAAAATCTGAAACATTTGAGATTTTTTTTTTATTTAGTTGTATTATTTTTTAATTTTAATTAATTAATTTTATTTTTATTTATTTGTTTATTTATTTATTATCAGCCAACTTAAAGCAGTGGTGGCTCGCCATATGAATCAACCGAATTACTGATTCTCTTAAAATTCTTCTATATATGCAATTTCTGGTAAACAGTGCGCACTGAGCAAATTAGAACTAACGCAACAAATCTTGCACATTTCTCTTCTAGAGGTGAAATTTAAAAATTTCTTTCTTCGATCAGATTTGTGCAAACCCCAAAATTTTCAAAGAAACCTACGCAATTGTGCGATTCACTTATTTTGGAGGTCATGAGCTGCCATCGATGTCAGAAATTATTTGCATGGCCCAAACTATCTCGTCTGCTTCCAGTGTAGCCCAGGGAAGACGAAAAACTTTATGTCTCTGCTTTATTCCTTATTGTAATTCTTCAAATTCGTGTGCATATTTGTTGAATGTTTTGTATTTTTATAAATTTACATGCCGTCCAACGGGAATAGTGGTTAGCGTCACAGACCGAAGGCCCCGAGTTCGAATCCCGGAGAAGGCATGGATGTTTGGAAATGTATAGTGTAGGTGTGGCATGGGGCACTCTAAATATGCCGCGAGCGAAAGTTCTCAGGTGTGGTTTGTTGGAAAGGGAGAGGGATGGGAGACCTTTGGAATCGTCCCCCCCCGGGATGCTCTCCATCAAAATTGGGGGGGACGGAACTGAGCAAAATCGCACTGTTACGTATGAGGTGCTTGCCAACGATAAGCGTATCTTGTCACGAGAAATTTCGTGGTCTTGCCCTGATATTACTGTCAGACAAGTGAACATAAGGTAACAACAACAACATGTAAATTTATATTCAATGTACATATAATATTCAATATACATGCAAATTTATATTCAATTTTTATTTTTATAAATTTCTGTACGTATTGAAATTTTATGTGCATAATCAATTAGTACTAATTAGCTTTTTGGTGAAAGTGAAACTATCGAACCGGGAAACATGCTGTATTTTCAACAAATTTTGCAACTGTTATGGAATAGTATTTGGGGAATTATCTGAAAGTAGGTTGAATTTTCGATCTGATGCTACCTCACAGAATAAAAACGGAGATAAAAAAAAATTAGAAATCTCCTTTTTTTACGAGTAGCTATGAAACATATTGTTATGGTTAATGTATTTATTTAGCTATTTTTAGTAGAACTGCAATTAAAATTGTTTTATTTCCCCGTGCAATGTAGCGCGCGACGAGTTTTAAGAGAAAGCTACGCCGAAAAAATAAAAACACAGGACCACGCGCATTTTAGATCTCTTTTGCTTTCCAGAAACCTCGGGAAAATACCAGAATGTTCTCGTGCATGATTAAAAAGCTTATAAAAGCCGGAGGGGGGGAACATCTCAGTTCAGTTGTTTACTAAGTTTTTGTGGTTGACTGTAGCGAATTCGCGGTGAGATCGAATTAGCTTTCTCTGCACTTTGGATTGAGTTCTATTTAACGTTTTAGTAGTTTAAAATATAACTACTGTGTGATATTGTGATGTTGTACGAATATCTGTGAGGAAAAATTTCAGCATTTTGTTTTGTTTCTTGTGATAATAATAAATTTTGATAATTTTTCATCAGACTTGTGCATTCAACCTATTACGACTTGCGATACAAGTCACCTTTTGGAATTTAACTATTTTCGCTGTGTTCCCAGTGCTGGAACCACAGTCACAGAATTTACTCCAGTTAAAGCCAGTGGTGTTTCGGTACTCGAACTGACTTATTCTTCTACATCAGTTACACTAAGTGGAGGCATTTGCGAGCTTTGAGGATTCCTTATTTAGGAAAACAAGCACAAATCTCTATAATACGTGCACGTGAATCTCTGTATTATGCATATTCATTTATCGCATAATTTTCAATGTATGCAATAAATGGATATTCGCAACTAGAAAGCACGGCGATCATACGAAATGACCGCTGTTCTAGATATTATAAATTGTAATTAAAATGATTTGTGCAAAGGTGTCTGCTAATTTAAACTGAATTACCCAGAGCAGGCGGCGAGGAAGCCCCTTTGCTTACTGTCCCACGGGGTTTCACCCTTCTACTTGCTTAATTGCTTAAAGTAGAGTGCAATGAAGGAAACCACTGGCGGTACATTTCTTAAGAGCCCACCGCTAGCTCAATCAATAAAATGTTAATTCACATGTCAAAGATCTCTTTGTTCACAACATTTCTTGTGTAGATCTTTCCATCATTTCTAAGCTCGCCTTTTTGAGGACTATCCATTATCTTTAATTTTACGTCCGTTCTTTCACGAACTCTTGAACAGGCAACATAAAGTTGACCGTGTTCAAATGTAGGCTCAGGTAAAAAAAAAAAAAAAATGCCAACACGCTTAAGCGTTTGGTCCTTAGACTTGTGGATGGTCATAACAAAGGCAAGTTTTACAGGAAATTGTCTAAGTCTCAATTGACACGGCAACCCTGTGCCGTGGCAACTTTACCTCACTGGGTAATACAGTTACGCAAGCAACCAATAAACTATCGGCGACAAACATACACTTAAGCCGCACATATATATATATATGGGGTGAAGTAACATCATCTCCTCCGAAACGGCTGGCTCCCGGGCTTAGCGAAGCACACCGTTGGATTCCGCAGGTCCGTGGCACGCCATTTTGATCATTCGCGTCTTCTTGGGACTTAAGATATTAATTAAAAACTACGTTTCCCCTACATTTCCCCTACATTTTCTACTTTCTTTCTAGGGTTTTCCCTATTACAGGGATTTGATTACGTGCCAAATTCTTTTTTCTCGAATATCTACCGAACGGCGCCGAGTTGAAATTCGAGACGCGTATCCTCGGATTCCAAAAAATTCTCCGAATCCATCCATACCGTTCTCATTTTCGTACGACTTTAATCGGCCGAGATATTAATTAAAAACTGCGGAAACGTCAATTTCCGCGCTCATTTTTCCGAGTGGCAACAATAAACTATCGGCGACACAGACTTAAGCCGCTTATATATATAAAGATTATGCGATTTTTTGTGAATGGGAAATAATGCCATCCTTAAGATATAAGTAATAAACATTTCACTTTAAAGAATGAAACAATTGTTTGCTTCTTCTTAAATAAAATCTGGACCATTCCGTTCGTTCTGCTTGCACGTGAACTTGAACCAAAATTTACCTCGTGAGATCATTAGACGGAAATTAACATAGTATCTCCATACATATTTTATGTCACAATTATTTTATCAATTACTTCCTGAAAATATTTTCTACAAAAATTTCTATTTGCCCAGTTTTATGAGTATTTTATTTGGCAAATATGTCTTCATCTCTAATCAAAGTGTAAGATAACAGATATATTAGATTCCAGTAGAAATTAGATTTAAAAGTGATAGATTGCGCAAGCAAATTTGAGATCCATAATTTTGCTGGGAAACAAATAAGTATCTGTTACTTGTTTATTCAAATACGTTAAATTTATGTTTATTAGGAGTCCAGGGTCAAGTATCTAAGTTCTAGATAATATGATCTTGATTAATATTGCAAAGTACTTATATCAAATTTAGATCTTATCAAAATGACCCCTAAGAATCTATGAAAATAAATACAGCTGCATTAATTCTAAAGGAAAACATACATCAGCTTTTAATTTTGCTCATTACAGAATTCAAAACTATATTTCTTGGCTCAAATATGATACTGGTCTTATTAACGAAATATCAGCGGTATAAAGTTAAGTATTTTTTTATGAAATACCACATAAATGCTGTTGGCCAGAGGTTTTGCTTGGGTGATGGTTATATAGAAAGTAGCCCACACGTGTAAAAAATAATGAAATACTTGTGCAAGTAGTCTGGTTCGTGATAAACTGACTTGGAATTCTACAGGCACCACCAGCGACCAAGAGGTTAAAGACCGCTGCGTACTGGTAGTTCTAGCAGAGTTCTATCCAAAAGAACGCGTTGGCTGCATATTTCCAAGGATCTCTCTACGTAAAACGTGATATGAACCAGTTCCCTTAAAAAGGTCCTTCTCACAGGCATCGCTGCGCTTAGGCAGATAGCCTTCGTGTGCTTTGTCGTATCCCAATAACTTAACCTAACGTAGAATTCTATAGCTTGATGAACTCACTTTCTAATGTGCCAAGATTTCTTATTTGTGGAAATAAGAAATTATTTATTATGAAAGGCCCCCCCTAGGAAACGGCGGGAGAATACGGTTTTTCGGATGCCATGTGGCTACTTCGCCAGGATATTAGTCTTATATTACTTTTGTTAATTTTATCTTAAATTTTAATAATAACAAATAATTGTTGACAACTGATTATCGAGAACTGCTTGTCAAAGTTCGCATTGTTGATCAGTTGTTAGAATTCGACCACCATTGTTTGGACTTAATGGCATTTTTTGACATTGGCAATGACGAAAACATTTTGCAACTGTCTCTCAGACGATACACATCGTACTGCGTGCTTGTGCTAGTTAAACAAGGGATGTCAACAAATCAACTATTCAGGTAATTTATTTATTTATTTCATAAGCACATAAATTTTCTTGAATTTAGCAGACAGTACTCTTATTATTTATATTTTATAGTGACGGCAAAAGGTCTAGCGTCGGCCTTGAAAGTGATGCTTACTTTACGGCAAATTCAGAGACAAAATAATACAAGTTAGTATTGTTATTATTTAGAAAGAAATATACGGTTAAAATTAAAAATAATTTTGAAAATATAGTTACTTTATAACAAAAAAAAATAATTTGATTTTTAACTAAGAATAAAATTTGTTCATGTAATTATGTACCTATTTACCGTGTTTTAAAGCAATATATATATAGATAAAAATTTGTAATACAATTTATAATAAATTACTTCTTTAGATTTTTAACATAATAAGTAAGAATAGAAGATGCAAATTCAAAGATGATCTAAGAAGTGAATTTCCTTTTGTTAAAAAAACTAAAAGCGATTACGTACTAAATGTGAGAAATGTAATGGTGAATTTTCTATTTCACCCGCAGGGGCGTAGCTATAGGGGGCAAGGGGGACATCTGTCCCCGGGCGCAGAATCCCAGGGGCGCCAAACTGATGTTACGACATTTTAAAATTAAACGTTTTCCATCCTTGGCAAGCAGTAGGGGGCGCCAAATCTTCAGTTGTCCCTGGGCGCTGAAAACCCTAGCTACGACTCTGTTCGCCCGGCTGGAAGAATGATATTTCAGAGCACTCGGGGACACAGAAACATAAAACTCTCTGCATCTTCCTCCAAAATGCAGGAGTTCTTTCAAAAACAATTTATGGAGACCAAGAACTGAAATTAGCGTTAGCAGATGGACTTGGGTCTTTTCATGCTAATAATCACAATCACTCCTTCGGATCTTCTACATCAGAAATTGTCCAAAAGTTATTCAACAAAAAACAACAGCAATCTACTAAAAGAATTCACTCAAATGAGAAATATGCCAAAGAATAAAATAAATACGTAATTTTTTAATGTATTATATTTGTAAATTGTACTTATGTTGGAAATTTAAAAAATATACTATAATACTATTTTTACGTTTTATGAAAACTTGTGTTGCTTCATATAGACCAAATTTTTAATAAAGATTCGCCACCCCCGGTGAATGGTGTCCAGCTTTACCAATGTTAAAATCTGGTCACCTTAAGCTAATCCCAAGCTGACTAATTAAATTCTTGTTGTTGTTGCTAATGCTCACTTGCCTGTCCTATGCCGGAGCTGTCTAGACCACTGGCTAGACTTGTGTCTAGACAGCTCCGGCCGGCAGAGCAGATAATCAGTCTTCACATAGATAAGAACCATCGTTTATTCGGTGGTAGGCTCAGGCTGGGCAGGGACCGTACTGGTACTGCCTTGTCGGTGTCCTTGCTGGTGGGGACATTACATGGAGGATGGTTACGACCGTCTGGAGACGGATTGGCTCCTCTTGGTCGGTGTGGAGGGACCTGTGATCTTGGCTGAAATTTTTAAACTGTCTGAGTATTAAATTTAGTACCGCGGGAGGGAGTGGTGACCCCTCTCGTGGGAACTTTATCTGAGTTATTTGTAGTCAGAGTTGAGATCGGCCCTGTGGATCGTTGCGGTCGCCCGTTGGTCTATTCTCTGATGAGTTCTGATGTCGAGGGATGTTTCTCCCTCTGCAGCGACCTGGAGGGGGAACACCCTCTCAGTTAGGTCCTGGAGTCTCAGTTTTCTTTACAAGCCTTGAAAGGGAGGTCTTAAATACATTCTAGGGCAGGGACTGAGTCTCTGGTTCAAAGTCAGCCCAAGCCAACGAAATTTCTTGTGGCAAGGAGCACAAGTTTACGCCTGTAGCTGACAATAACCTTGAGCATTGTTCCGGTTTGACTAGAAACTTTCACTATGCCGAAGTTCCGGTTTGATTAGAAATAAACTTTTCTCTGCCTAGAAATGGCAACAATGAGAACTTGACTTTCGATTTGTTATGACGCAGCTAGAACGCTGCTCCTGAGATGTAACATTAGATTCGATTCTAGATTCTAGATTAGATTAATTTGTTTAGTATTTTAATAAATCCTTTTAAAACTAGATTGAGTATTTGATCATAGAATTATAGCTGAACCACCGCTTGCAGAAATTTACATGCATTTAGATACGTCGTTAGATAGGAATAGTGCACATTAGTGCGTACATAAACAAGCATCTTACAGGGGATAGTGCGATATTGCTCAGTTCCGCCCCAAATTTTGATGGAGAGCACCCAAAGGGGACGAGTCAGAGGGTCTCTCACCCCTCAGAGAGGACTTTCGACTCGTCGTATTTTTAGAGTGCCTCCATGTTGCACGGGCACTAAACATTTACAAACATCTATACCTTCTCAGGGGTTTGAACCCGACGCCTTCGGAACGGCAGTCAGCGTTAACCACTATAACGGCTGAGCAGCTAATATTTACTAGCATTACAAATAGCCACGCTGCCGTGGCTGTATTGCTACTGTTCCAGAGAAGACCAGTAACCAGCTTTAGTGTACGTCCCCCGGAGCTGTTGTTTGTTTCCTGTTCGACTTCATGATGTTTGCTTTACTGAGTCTTGTTCCCTGGATTACCTTACTCTAGGTTCAGTCATCGAACACCTGTGTTTTAAGCGAAAGAAATCTTTTGCCAAGTCTTAGAATCACTACTGGTAATATTATTTTGGAATGAACTAACCGCATACTCATATATTTATAGAGGAGCTTCGTTTTATCGTTTTTCGATAGGGTTAAGGAAAAAGAACGATGAAAACTGAAACACGATTAAACGCATTATAATTAGGCAACATATTCTAAACAATATAGTAAGCTTAACACAATATAACTGGTAGAAAAATTTTTAAAAATTGGGTTAAATTTTCTTTTGCTTCTTGGCTAAATTTTGCCTTACTAGAAATACGAGTTTCTCAAATTTTAAAAGCTTTAATTAAAAGGTTAAACTTTAAAATGTTTAAAAGGTTTTCGGTAATTATTTATATAATTTATTATTTTAATTTATTTATTATTAGTCAAATTATTATAATTAAAAAGGTTGGACTGAAATGGAACAACAGCAAGAAGAAATCGTAATTCTCACCAAAATTTTAAAAGAAAATGAAATTCCAATTAACTTCATTAACAGTCTTTTAAAAAAATCTGGAGTAGTATAACAATTTTTTAAAGTATGAATTTCCTACCTGAAAGATCAAATACAGAAGGATAAAGAAGGGCGTTTTAGAATGTTTTATAGTTTTTTTTTTTTTTTCTATTTTTGTAACTTTTCCTTGACTTATAAGGTATTTCTCCCGCCTTCTTAGCGTACCTTCGTGGTGTAGTGGTCTGCACGCTGGACGTGTATTCCAGAGGTCCGTGGTTCGATTCCCGGCGAAGGCGTTGCTCATTTTTCATCTCACCTGCTTGAGGCTCAAATGCAACCGACTCTTGCTCCAAGCCTACACTTCCACAGTGGCGCCCTAACTAAAAGGGTGGTGGATGATGATTTTCCACACCCAGGTGTGTGTGTGTGATTATTGCAAAGCCCCGAGGGCTATCTGCCTAAGGGGAAGGATGCCTTCGTCGATAACTTTCTAAGGGAAACTGGCTCGTATGCACATTACACATGGGGAAAATCACGAAAACGCCCATGCAGCCAGCCCTTTCGCGGGATTCGAACCTCGGACCGAACTACCAGTCACACCTAACCCCCAGTTGCCCTTTAAAAGTGGGAGTATATAAGGTATTTCTCACGCCTTCGTGGTAGGGGTCAGCACGGTGGGCGCGTATTCCAGAGGTCCGTGGTTCAATTCCCGGCGAAGGCTTTGCCTATTTTTCATCTCTCTTGCTTCCAAAATATACCTAATGGCTCTACAAACTTAGCTGTTAATAACATTGGGCCTTCTGTATTCCAGTCGTCATGATAAGCTTATACGTGAAGACGTTTTACTTTTCTAACATTTTTATCTTTTCTTCCTTTTAATTTCCCCTACACTTTCTTTTTATATATAAATTTTAAAAATTATTACAAGCTTACTTTATTCTTACTTTCTGTCTTGTTCACCATTTAGGAGATTTCTAAATAGCCTTCGCGAATTTGTTTTGAAGTCACGACCTTGACGTGAATTTTGAATCTAAAGGTTCTGTTCATTGTTTCGAAACTTGTACTTTTATTACCATGTTCTCGCTTCATTTTTAGAACATTGTATTTCTATATTTTAATTTCAGTTTTAATCTTACATTGTGTAAAAAATTGCTTAACTATTTACTCTTTTCAAATTCGAGATTTTCTTCAATTGGATGTGTTTACTGTTACTTCACTACCGGATTGCTACTTCATTCTCTGAGTAAGTTTTAAATTCGTGTTCTCGGTTTACTTTGTTACATTTTTATTTCAGTTTTAAATTGTGAAAAAGGTCTAATTTTATTCTTTTTCTTGATTTGGCATTGAATTTTTCCTTGTGTCGAGGAGGACTTGAAAATTTTCGAATGAACTGTTATATTTAAAAAATTTTAGAATAGTTCATTAGCTAATTTTGAATACAGAAACGCAAATTTAATCTCAGCTGTTGAGATTTTTTCGAATGTGCAGTAACTGTTGTTCTTAAAACTTAGAGACAGTTGCTTCAGTTTACATGCGAAAACTTATAAGTAGTATTAGCATTACTTTCTTTTTAAAATATTAGTCCTGTTTCTTTGTATCCCTGTAAGAACAACAAGCCTGCTATTATGATTAAGCTATTGCAGTATGTCCTCTGTAGGAGAAAATCTACTAAATGTGCATTACGCCGGTTATTGGGAGAGTTCGATAGGTGGCATTATTTAAACATATTGTTACGAATGTTGTATATAGACAGATGATTTTAGGGCAATCATATGTGAAATTGTTGTATTTCTCAGTGTAATGAACCATGAAAAATCGAGAGAGAGAGACAAGCTATCCGGAAATGTAAGAATACAGGGCAAACACTAATTCAGAAGTCAAACAACAAAAATCAGCGTTACATTTTCAAATTTTCACAGAATTGAAAATTTGAAAATATAACGCTGATTTTTGTTGTTTGACTTCTGAATTAGTATTTGTTCGGCGTGTTATTGTGTCTTCTGTGAAAATTTGAAAATATAACGCTGACTTTTGTTGTTTGACTTCTGAATTAGTATTTGTTCGGCGTGTTATTGTGTCT